TAATATTTTTTATTCATTGAATCAGCTGTTGGTCAGGTTACTTCTTGTTGTGTCATTAACTCTAAAAGAGTTACTGAATCAAGTTTTACTTGTGCAGGTAAAACTAATGTTTAAACAACAAATACACTGAATGCAGGAAATAGCATCTACTTTTTTCAAAATTTTCTGGGGGAGGACCCCCAAATCCCCCCCCCCCCTCCCCCCCATTACAAATGCTTCTGACACCAGTGGGCAACACGTTACTAAACAAGTACACATGGTGTCATGTGGGGTTCAAGGTGCGTTCAACTTAACTCAGTCTCGATGATTTGCATCAACAAGAGAACATTGTAGCATTTATAGTTCTATGAGCATTTGGATTTTTATACATCAAAATACACTTGATAGTCAGAATTTTAAGTATATTTACTGTATATTATGGTAATTTATTCTGTATTTTGCCAGATTATTATTAGGAACTAATTAGGAGATTATTAGGAATCGAAAACGCACGCCCCACCCTTGGGTAAATGAGACCACAAGAGAGGCAAGACGCCTGTGCAGAAGAGCTGAACGATGATGGAAAAACGATAAACTTCAGGTGTCTTTTGAGATGTTAAAAACATGTTGGAAAGCCTATCAGACCACCGTTAAACAGGAGAAAAACAAATATTTCTCAAACATTATCAACTTAAACAGTCACAACCCCCGCGTTCTTTTCAGCACCATTAACACCATTCTAAACGTGCCTCAGTCTGTCACCATTGAGGCCTCTGTCGACACCTGTACTAAGTTTGTCAGGCATTTTGCTGAAAAGGTGGAGTCGATTAGGTCATCAATTCCACACTCCACAGCCACCCTTCAGTTCTTGTCCCCTGCTCAGCAGTCTTCAGTCACTTTGACCCCATCTCACTCTCATTTTTAAACGAGGTCGTTGGTCACATGAAACCCTCAGGCTCCCCTGCTGATCCCATCCCTGCTGCATTTTTTAAACAGGTTCTACCGTCAACTGGACCCTCTGTTCTTGCCATTATTAACAGCAGTTTGGCTACAGAGTCAGAGTTTCTTTATTGTCATTCGCACCTCATGTGGTACATGTGGTGGAGCGAAATTATGTACGCAGGGTCCCAGTTACATCCAACAATAAAATGTATAAGAAAAACTGTAATAACATCTAAGATATGAACTAAGAAAAACATCAACTAAATATACACTAAGCACTCATAACATAAAACACTGAACACCAGCACAAACATGAACATGAGTCCGTGAGCAGATGTGCACGCACGAACACACCAACACTGAAACAGATCAGCAGCAACACGAAACAGATCAGCAGCAACACGACATGGTTTTTCACAGTGATTATTCTAGTTAGAGATTCATGAGTCTAACAGCCTCAGGGTAGAAGCTGTTCCTCAGTCTAGTGGTTCTACACTTAATGCTCCTCAACCTCCTTCCTGAGGGGAGTGGGGCAAAAAGTGTGTGTGCTGGGTGGGTGGGGTCCTTCATGATGCAGGTGGCCCTCTTCCTGCATCTGGAGGTGTAGATGTCTGTGATGGTGGGGAGGCTGATTCCAACAGATTTCTGTGCAGCCTTCACCACTCTCTGCAAAGCTTTTCTTTCTGCAGCTGTGCAGCCTCCATGCCACACGTTGATACTGGAGCACAGGATGCTCTCCACTGCACACCTGTAGAAGGAGGTGAGGACTGAGCTTCCCAGACCAGCTCGCCTCAGCCGTCTGAGGAAGTAGAGTCTCTGATGAGCTTTCTTGATCAGGCTGGTGGTTTTGTTGCTCCAGCTGAGGTTGTCATTCATGTGTACACCCAAGTACTTGTAGCTGGAGACCACTTCCACCGCAGATCCTCTTATGTTCAGGGGGGTGTAGGTGTTTTTGTTCCTTCTGAAGTCCACAATCATCTCCTTTGTCTTCTTCACATTGATGTGAAGGTTATTCTCTTTGCAATAGCTCTCCAGGTGTGGTCCCTGATGTTTTAAAACATGCAGTGGTAACTCCATTAATTAAAAAACCCGGACTCGACCCTGCAGCTTGTTCTAACTTCAGGCCAATCTCAAAACTTCCATTTATTTCTAAAATTTTGGAGAAAATAGTTTTTAGTCAACTAACCAAGTTTTTGAATGTAAATGGAATTTTTGAGATTTTTCAGTCAGGATTTAAACAACTGCACAGCACCGAGACAGCTTTAGTAAGGGTCTGTAATGACATTCTGCTAGCGAATGACTCTGGTCAGTCTGTGATCCTGGTACTCCTCGACCTTACCGCTGCATTCGACACTGTTGATCACAGCATCCTTATGTCACGGCTAGAACACTGGGTTGGGATTACAGGGGTGGCGCTAGAATGGTTTCGTTCTTATCTGGGTGACAGGAGTTTTTGTGTTAACTTTGGCAATCATTTATCTGCTTCTGTCCCTCTTTCCTGTGGGGTCCCACAAGGCTCCATTCTTGGACCCCTTCTGTTCTCATTGTATCTGCTCCCCTTGGGGTCAATCCTGAGGAAACATGGTATTTCGTTTCACTGTTACGCCGATGACTCTCAGATCTATCTACCTTTAAAACCAAACAGTTCCTGCTCCATCCTCCCTTTGCTAAAATGTCTTGATGACATCAAGACTTGGATGGCTGCAAACTTCTTGAGCTTTAATGATCAGAAGACTGAGGTCATTGTGTTTAACCCAAGCTCTGCCACTGTCACTGATCCTGTAAACCTGCACTCCCTTCAGCCTCATCTAAAGCAGTCGGTTACCAATCTCGGGGTAGTGTTAGACTCGGACTTTAAGTTTAATAAACAGATCAACTCTGTTCTACAAAAAAGCTTCTTTCAGCTAAGGCAGATAGCAAAGCTAAAGTCCGTTCTGTCCAGATTCGACCTTGAAAAACTAGTCCATGCATTTATTACTTCCCGGCTGGACTACTGTAACTCACTTTATGTTGGGGTTAGTCACGCTTCACTCTCACGTCTCCAGCTCGTACAAAATGCTGCAGCTCGGCTTTTAACAGGAACTCACAGGTTTGAGCACATTACTCCGGTTCTGTCCTCTCTTCACTGGCTTCCTGTGCGTGTCAGAGTTGATTTTAAAATTCTCCTGCTGACATTCAAGTGCATTAACGGCCTTGCACCATCATCCCTCTCTGACCTTCTTCATCCTTATGCTCCTTCTCGGGCTTTGAGATCATCAGACCAGCTGCTTTTGGCCGTACCAAAAACCAGCTGAAGCTCAGAGGAGATCGAGCGTTTTCAGTCGTGGGCCCTAAACTCTGGAACAATCTGCCCATCAACATTCGACAGGCCACCTCAGTCTCTATTTTTAAATCTCTCCTAAAAACATCTGTACTCACTGACATTTAACACAGGGTGATTGGATTTAGATCTGGTTTTTCATTGATGCTGATTCTGTTTATGCTTTTGTTATTATTCCTATTTAACACAAGGTCATCTGATCTGATTTAGTATTTCATTGTTTCTGACTGAGTTTATGCTTTTTGTTTTTATTTCCTTGACTTTTCACACAACGAGATCTGATTTAGTATTTCATTGTTTCTAATAGTTTTTGGTTTTATATTTTTATTCCATGTGCTGTAAATATATCTTGCTACTTTTTATCTGATGATGTGATATTTTTGTTAAGCACTTTGGTAACAGTTTCTGTTTTAAATGTGCTCTATAAATAAATCTGACTTGACTTGACTTGATTATGGTGATTCTGGGGTCATAATGATGGGGCCCTTGAAGATTGTTGCCCAGGGTACAGCGAAGTGTTAATCTGGCCCTGCTTGTGGGGAAACAGATTACTGGAACTCCTCAGACTGATGAAGCCCTCCGGATAGAGGGCGAAATGTCTCTATAAAAAAAAACTGTCCAGGTGACCTGACTGAGAATTATTGTCTTCAAACAGATTATTTCTTTGCAGATGATCACGTAACTGACCTGCAACTATTTTCTCTGGAATTTTTGAGATGAAAGTTAGATTAGGTATAGGTCTATAATTGGCAAGTATTCTTGAGTCAAGGTTATGTTTCTTAAGTTTTTTTTTTCATTTACCCTTTATTTATACAGGTAGTCTCACTGAGTCACAAGTCACAGGCCCATCTTCTACCCTCTGTGCCACCACTCTCCCAATTTACATTAATTACATTAATTAATTACATCAACCTTAAAGCACTGTGGTACATAACCATCCATTAAAGACAAATTAAACAGATCCAAAATGTGGACATTAATTAGGGGGAATACCTCTTTAAACAGTCTGGTTGGGATGGGATCTAGCAGGCATGTGGATGGTTTGGATGAGGTTATTATTTTTGACAATTCAGAGCTCAACAGGACAAAAACTGTCCAAACATAAATCAGGCTCTAGTGAAATTTTTAAAGTTGTCTCATGTGACTAGAGGCGATAGGAAGGATGGTTGAATTTTCTCTCTAATTGAAACAATTTTATTTATAAAAAATCTCATGAAGTCATCACTACTTATAGTTGCAGGGATAGAGCAGAGATAAGAGTTTTCATTAGACTAGCTATGGTACTGGTAACCTGGGGTTATTCTTCTTCTCATCAATTAAAGGTGAATACTATAAAGTTCTAGCTTTACGAAGCACTTTTTTATAAGTTAGCAGGCTCTACAAGATAAGTCAAATTCAAACATTACTTGTTTCAGACAGTAAAGTTAAGTCAGGTCCTCTGGATGGTTTCTTTTTGTTGAAACGTTTCTTTTATCCAGAAGACTTCGTCAGTCTGAGGAGCCACAACAAACTCAGTCTTCTAGCACCTTCACATAGTGGTCCATCCAGTCTCATGATCCTCACATGGTTTCTGGCTACTTGTGGCACTTTATGGGCTCAAAACTCAAACTTATTATTTATAGATAATTAGGCGCTTTTCCTAATTAAAGGATCTTTCGTGACGTCATGAGGAGCCCGCTCCTCGCTCCTCCCTCCTCCGCTCCTCGCTCCTCGCTCCTCCGCAGTGGGTGCGCCTCCTCTTCACGGTTCTGCGAGTTGAAATGAAACCGAGAGATGGCGTCAGGGCAACAAGTGGACCCGGACGAGCCGGAGAAGAAGCGCAGCTCGCAGCCGCTCGTCAGCACCTTCCGTCGGGTTCCGACCCTCCGAGCTCCGCCATGCCGCCTGCCGCAGACCTGGGCCGCGCGCTGGCCATCATCACCGGGGCTTCCAGAGGCTTCGGCCGGGCCTTGGCCAGAGACGTGTCCCGGTCCGTGAGGCCCGGCTCGGCGCTGGTTCTGGTGGCCCGCTCCGGAGAGGAGCTGCGGGCCCTGCAGGCGGAGCTGGTCGGCCTGAAGGTGGAGGTGGTGGTGGCTGATGTGGGCCTGACCTCGGGCCTGGAGGACGTGCTGACTCGGTCCAAACAGGTTTTTACTGAGGACATGGACCACCTGGTTCTGTTCAACAACGCAGGTAAGACTCGGAGCTGCAGGTCCAACAGAACTGTTCCAACATGCTTCACAGTAACTTTATGATTTTAAAATCGGAGCCTGAACTTTGTCCACTTGGAATGAAAACTAATGCTTCATTTGTCAAAGCTTTTAAAATAATCAAGGTCTGATCTGCAGTAAATTAAACTCATATAATCCAGGTCATGTGGACGGTTTCTTTTTTTGTGCTGAGACGTTTCACCCTCCATCCGAAGGACTTCATCAGCACGACCTGGTTTTTCCACTTTGGTGGAGAATCAGTTTGTTTGGTGCTCCTCAGACTGATGAAGCCCTTCGGATGGAAGGCGAAACATCTCAGCACAAAAACCGTCCACATGACCTGACTGAACATTGCTGGATTTTATACCTGGATTATGGACTTTGGTGAATTGATTTCAATTCAGCCATTCTTTCTCTGCAGGTCAGTTCTAAGCGGTCGGGCCGGGTCGGGCCGGAGGTCTGACAGATAAAGTACTTTTTCTCTCAGCAGGAACGACTTCCTGTTTGTGCCTTTGAGCAGCGGGTCGGACCCTCTGATGGACTGGGTTTTGGAGGACGTGCAGTCAGAGTTTGGGTCATCAGAGGTTCTGCTGACGACCCGACTCAAATCAGTTGCAGGTTTACAACCACTAGTTTGAATAAATCCATTCAAGTGGTTCATGAGATATTTTGCTAACAGACACAGGTAAAAACAGAATCGCCAGCCTTCGGCTGAGATGAAGGACAGAACGTTTCGCTTCTTCTTTGATGGAAAGTTCTCGTCTCTTTCTGCTAAATGAAAGTGTTCTGCAGCGCAGGCTGAAGAACCTCCTGCTCCGGTGGTTTCTTCTTGCTCCCTCGTTAAATTCAAAGTGGTTCCTCCCTGTGTCTCTGTCCTGCAGCGTCTCTGGGGGATGTGTCCCGCTACACCAAGGACTTCACGGACATGGCTGTGGTGGACTCGTACCTGTCTCTGAACGTCAGCTCGGCCCTCTGCCTCACGGCCCGGGTCCTGCAGGCCTTCCCTCAGAGTCCGGGTCTGCGGCGCACCGTGGTCAACGTGTCCTCCCTCTGCGCCCAGCAGCCGTTCCCCTCCTGGGTTCTGTACTGCACCGGCAAGGCCGCCCGAGACATGACCTTCAGGGTTCTGGCTGAGGAGGAACCGGACCTGCGGGTTCTCAGTTATGCCCCAGGTAAGAACAGGACCAACAGGAGAGACGGGGTCTGATGGAAGTAAAGGGTTTTAAATCCATCGAGTCCTGCTTTGCACATGGTTTCAGACTTGAAATCAAATGTGAACTCAAAAATATTCCGTGACTCAAAACTCTGACATCGTCTCTAAAACTCAGGAAGTTGGGATTTATTTTGTAATAATCTAAACCACAGAGGGAGAGTACCTGTGAGCTTTATTTTGAAACTCCAGGTTCGGGCCTCTTCCTGTTTTTGTTGCCCCTCTGACTGAATCCTCCTAAACATCAGAGGTCTGATTAGATCAGTGGGGGCGGCCATGATGGAGACGGAGGAGGAAGAAAAGCATGCTGGGTAATGTAGAAGACCCAGAAGCTGCAGAGTCACTGGTTGCCATGGCGATTCCCACCTTTTCTGGGGAACATGGGGGGAGGGGCAGCAACCAGAAGCACTACAGACAGAAACGCAGAGCAGAAAGTAAGCCTCGGTCTCTGTGAAAACTTGAAGTTGGATCAAAGAACTTCTTGACCCATGAGTAGCAGGAGGTTCTGACGGTACCACAGGTTCTGTTTGATGCTTCTACAGGGTTTGATGGAGGAGACATGACGGGTTAAAAAGAGCCTTCACTTCCTGTTTGAAGCTCAGATAGTGGAAGTCAACGGGAGTTTGGGTGTTGACCTCTGGGGGACACCTCAGTCCTCCAGCAGAGACACTGGAGGACAAGGACAGAAAGACCAAGGACTGGAGGAGATCAGTGTTTGAAAGAACTCACCATCAGTCTGAGCTGAACGTCGTTGGTTAAATCCTCCATGTTCTGCTGTGCTTGTGTAAAAAGAGTTCGTTCTTCATTCACAGAAAGTTCAACTTCCTGTGACCAGTTTAAGTCCCGCTGCTGGTTCTGCTGCAGAGATCCAGACAGGACTGGGTTTCACTCTTGGTGGGGAGTTGTCACATAGTCGTGAATTTAATCCCCACTGCTGGATGTTCTGGTACCAGTTTGTTCCTGGTGGAGATGCAGGTTTTGAGGGATGTTCTGGGATCTTACTGGTTGAAAAACATTTAAATATTTTTCTACCTTTGTTGTTAAAATGAGCAGCAACTGTTGTGATCGCTTTCATTTCTCAACTCATTCGGATCATTTTCTTGTTTTGGGCTGAACCAGGACCTCTGGACACATCCATGCAGGTGGAGGCCCGGACCAAGACGGCCGATCCCAACCTGAAGCGGTCCTGTTCGGACCTACTGGTTCAGGGCCAGCTGCTTAGCTGTGAGGCATCCTGCTCCAAACTCATGAAGGTTCTGCTGGAGGACAGCTTCACGTCCGGAGCTCACGTGGACGTCTTCGACGTGTAGACTGGATGTCCTTGAACGCCTCACGTCCTTCAACCTTTGATCCATTTTATTTAGTAGAAAAGTTGAAAATGCAGATATGTGTTGGTGCGTTTGCTTACAGAATGAGAACCTGCAGAACCTGGAAACATTAAGACGTCGCTACCACTCAGTAAACATTCCAGCTGCAGACGCTGCAAAAGGTTTTGAATAAATTATCAGTAAAACCAAAGTTTGGAACAACTCTGCACAGAGTTAACAATTACAAAGCTCTGAGCTTCAGAACGTGAAGTTTTTAATAAAATCTCTCAGGAGAATGTTTGACAGAATGATTGACTCATGCACAGCAGAGTCAAAGTCCATGTTTGGTAACGGACCGCTGAGCTGCAGGTTCTGACCCGTTCTCACCCAACAGAACATCAGGCCCACAAGTCAAACTGCAATCATCTAAAATCAGGGACCAAATTGATGAAGAGATGTTCACAGATGCAGATCAATTAGTTGGTTTCCTTCCATAAGCTCAGTTATTTTCCATCAGTCAGAAACTTTCGTTTTAAAATCTCTTCTGATTAATTTTTTATTTCTCCGTCGGTCGTGGAGCCTCCTGGCTCTTCTTCCATCAGTACGACTCAAAATGTGACCTAACATTGTGACCTTGGAGTCCAGCTTGGATTGTTCTGGATCCTCTGCTCTTTTTCTACCATCAGTCCAGCTGATCAACCTGGGGTTGCATTTCCTCTTGCGTCCACCTCCTAGGAGGCTGTCCACAGTCCCATGAACCTTCTAGTCTTTAAGGATCTTGTCCGCTGTGTTGAGAGGAACATGAAGCAGCTTGGAGAGGGTCTTGTAGTCTTGACCTTTACCATGGATCTCTATAATCACAAGCTCTTCGGTTCCTCTGCTCTGTGTTCAATGTGACTAGAACCAAACCAGATGACCCAGACTCTTGTTCTCTTTTAGCAAGATGAAGTCTGGAAGGCTCCTCAGATACTAGTCGGCATCAAACAGTCAGGCCCAGTTCACACAACGCTGTGTTTAAGCAAATCCCTAACATTTCTGCTGTGTTTCGGCTGTTCATGTCCACAATGATAGCAGCTGTTTTCTCTGAAGCTTTTTGGGTCCAGGTCTGACTGGATTTTGTTGGAAACATTCAACGTGGGTGTAAAAACAACACAGACGGTTGTATTCAGTACTTTCTCTGTAGATGAACAGCAATAAGGGCGGTTAGCGAGTGCCGTTTGTCATGATCACCCTTTCCAACATGGAGGAGTGACCCAGCCTCATCCTCGGTCCAAACCAACGCTCGTGTTACAGTAGTCCCTTGTTTATCACGGGGGATCCGTACCCTGAAGCCCCACGATAAGTGAAAAACCGTGAAGTAGGAATAGTAGTATAAGTAGTAAGTAGTAGTTTTAGTATTTATATAAACAGAGATATTAAGGCATTTAAACCCACACTCTTGCAATATTCTAAACAATGTTTCTAAACGCTCTAAGAGAGCACAGAATGTCATGATTTCCCTCTCTGTGCCTCCGCTGCTCTCAGCCACCTGCAAGCACTCTTGGCCACGCCCACTTCACTCTGCACGCACATCAGCTGATCAGCTGCAGGAGGAAGTTTCTCCTGCAGTAAGGGCTACACAGAGGTGCAGGAGGTGCTAAATAATTTAAAATAAATTATTTTAAATAAAAATCTCATGCTGATCGTGCGGCTCATCCATCAATCAGCCAACTGTGTGTCATGTCCAATCTTGTTGGGACTACTGTAGCTGTTTTCATGCTCCAGAACTGTTCACGAGCGTTGTTGATAAACCACATCACCACCTGGTGGCCCGACGTGGAACTACAAGTGCTGCGTTTACGAGGTATATCGTCAACAAACGTCAGAAACACGAACGTTTCCAGAGGTTGTTCAAGTGTGAATGCGGCCTCCGTCTGAAACTTGGCTTTAAGGCCAAATTATTTCTTTATTAGTGACGAGTTTTGTTTCAAAGAGCTGGAAGGAACCAACAGATGATCCACGTCTGTTCATAACAATTGCAATATCATATGTTGGTTTATTTCTGTCGGTTTATAAAGTCTGATTCTTTTCTCCTGTTTGAACAATCATAATCTTTATTATCATGTTCTTGTGCCTTAATCGTGATGTTGAAGTGCTTTAACTGATTTTAATAGATAAAGTTGATGCTGAAGTCTCTGAACCGCTGCTTTTATTTAGACTTTATGTTCTGCGATAATATTTGTATAATCTCGTTGTGTGTTTGATCATCTGCTGTGAACTTTATTACAGAAATAAATTGTTTGGACTTCATCTCCGTCAGGCGTTAGTGGTTCATCCTTTTGCCGCCATGTTGGAACAAAATCAAACATTTCAGTGAAATTTAGATTTTTACACTTTAGGATAAAAACGTTGCGCAGCTGCAGGTTTGTGTCTGAACAAGTTCAACTCCGTTAAAAAAAAAAAGTTTGTATCATCCAGGTAGATAACAACAAAAAAGGTTAAATCGTGTCATCTGGACCAAGTTTGTTAAGGGAGAAATGTTTCATCCCCCATCCAGAGGACTTCCTCAATCTGCAGCCTGCCAACCAGATCTGTCCCACAGGTAGCCTTCACTGCCAACCTCGTGTTGGAATCTCAAAAGTAAACTTTTAACATGCAAAACACACCCATGATTGTTCTGGATGGGTGTGCTTTGCACGTGTTATTCCAACGGGACGGCTGTGGCTGAGTGGTTAGAGCACTCGTCCTCCAATGCGAGAGTTGGGGGTTTGAATCCACCAGCAGTCACATGCTGAAGTGTCCCTGGGCAACACACTGAACCCCTCATAGCCTCTGATGTGTGTCCCATCAGTGTATGAATGTGATCTAAAGCACTGATTAGTTTCTTTAGAATGATTTGTTCAATTAGCTTTGTAGAGATCTAGTATAGAGCTGTATGAATGGGTAAATGAGGCACAGATTGTTTTAAAGAGCTTTGAGTATCTTGAAATAAGATAGAAAGGTGCTGTATAAGTACAGTTCATTTACCATTTACCATAACAGGAGGTTGAACCACAGCAGTGAATGCTACCTATGGGACAGATCTGATTGTCAGGCTGCAGACTGAGGAAGTCCTCTGGATGGCGGATGAAATGTTTCTCACTTACAGAAACTTGTCCAGATTACATGATTTAACCTTTTCATTTGTTCAACTCAGTAACTTAAAGCTTAAAAAGTGTCTAGTTTTTTGGCACAAAAATGAAAACATTTCTCTGAATTTCACCAGAACCTTTGGGACAAGGTCCAGCCCAAAGCTGCACATGAACAGCAGCAGAACTGTTTTGTAAGAACTCTGTTCAGCAGGCGGTTCTGAAGGGCCGTTTCCCATCATGTGCCTCTGACTGACAGCCACAGCTGCCCGGGACCAAAATACCACTGAGGGGGGGAACCGACCCAAACAAGGGGTTCCTCTTACCTCAGCATCAGCCCGGCCCACTCTGGAAGGTGTTTGGACCTGAGGGCGGGTTGTGGGGGATTATTTTAGGTTGGTCGGGTCAGATCCAGGAGAAGCAGAACTGTACTCAGTCTGCCTCACCTTCAGCTCTTGGACTCTGGTCGAGTCAGAACCAGGACCGGAGAGAACATGGAGCTCTTTGATGCTGAGAAGAAAGGTCGAGGTCTGAGAGCCACCAGGGACCTGAAACCCGGTGAGGTAGTTCTGGCTGAGCCCAGTTACTCTGCTGTGGTGTACGACAGGTAAACCTCTCCTGGTTCTCGTTAACAAGTCGGATCAAGCAGAACTTGGTGTTTTCTCTCTGAACAGGTCTCAGCATGATTCAAAAGGTCTCTGCTGGTCTTAGCAGGTCTCTGCCAGTCCTCTACCGGTACCAGCAGGTCTTTCTGTACCGTGATCGCAGCCCTAGAGTCCAGATTTGTCATGACATCAGCAGCACCAGGCACCATGGAATGGTAATATGAGGTGGACCATGACGTACTGGTTGTTGCAGTCCGGTTCAACTCCTCTCAGCGAATCCCCCCCCCCCCCCCCCAAAAAAAAAATTAAGAGAAAACGGGTCAAACAGAATCTCACCATTTATTCAACATTTATTTGTACAGGTAAATCCCATTGAGCCTCGGGGACTCATTTACAAGAGAGACCTGGTTTCTTTAACAAAGTGTGATGACAAGAGTGGATAACATCAACAATAATAGACAATCATAAAGGAAGAATACAAATTGAAATTTTTAAAAAGTGAAAATAAAATGGTATTTAAAAAAAATGTAACAAAAAACATCTAGATTGTAAGGTGATATAGAAAACTAAAAACGGGAACGTCTGCGTTGCTTCATGAACTTAACAGATGTTTGAAGTCACTTAGAGAGGTCAAAGGTTGAGAGCTTCAGATCTTTTTACAAAATATTCCAGGAAAGTGGAGCGGAGTAGGAGAAGGTCCTTTTGTCTAGTTCAGTCCTCACTGAGGGAACACTGCAGGTAATGATGTCCTGAGAGCGCACGCTGTAGCTGCACTCACGCAGAGACATGTAGGAGGAGATGTATGAAGGCAGCAGACCAAGAAGTGATTTAAAGATGAAGATGTACCAGTGAGAGAGTCTGTGTGAAGTTAATGGTGACCAAAATATCCTGATACATGCTCAATAATCCAGGTAGAAAAATCCAAAAAAGTTCATTCTGGTCCTCTG